GGTGATTGTATGCTGTAATACTGGACATTGTGTGTGTAGTTCATGGTGCACATGTTGAACTATGGTGATTGTATGCTGTAATACTGGACATTGTGTGTGTAGTTCATGGTGCACATGTTGAACTATGGTGACTATATGCTGTAATACTTGACATTGTGTGTGTAGTTCATGGTGCACATGTTGAACTATGGTGACTGTATGCATTATTCTTGCATTTGTAATAAACTGTTATTTTTATGTTAAGTGGTTTTCCTAGTATCATTTTTTCAAAAGTGTTTCTAAAAATATTTGGACAACCTGTATGTTCCTAATCTGGGAAGTAATAAAAGTTACAGTATTACAGATCTAAATGTTCTGTGTTTTAATAACAACAATACTTTGTAAAGTCACACACTTTAAGAATTGTTCCCTATCTTGTGCTGACTTCTGGAACTTTTTTCCTATGCTTAAATATCATGGACATGATTTTGCAATGTTGCCCAACACCATAGTTGCCATTGTAACAAGCTTCTGTGCAGGATAACAAGACAACTTTATATCAGACATTAAACTTGTATGAACAACAGCTTCCGAGACCAAATTTTAAGTAGACTGAATACTTGAGTTTTAATGTGATCATAACGAACAGTGAAGCCTAACAAGTGTTTTCTCTGTGGTTGGAATATATTACGAGTTATTCAGTTTCTGTGGTTTCATATTTCTCAAACACGAGATTTATTATACCTTATAGTCGAAATAGGATAGTTAAAAAAAAGGAAGACCTGGAAATAACTTGTTTTGTATATTTTAAAAAGAATTATAGGTAATCAAAAATTTGATCTCCTAAATTCTAAACTAGGTTAGTGTTGTTAAGCCTCACCTGGAATTTCCTTCCTTCAGCGTCAACTCTCGGAATCTGTTTTGTGTTCACTGCTTTACTTGTGTGTTTAATAATTTCCCCTTGTATAGGTTACCAATGGTTAAAATAGCTGTAACTGGTCTGTTAGAAGTGTACGATATCTGTTGTTGAAATAAATGTATATAAAAAGAAGGTACCCGTAGTTATTGAAACACGCTAGTTGTCATTTGGGTATCTTATGATCCTTTTGGCATCAATATTATGTTATAGATCCAAAACTTTTAAAGGATTTAAAGTAACTGTGTTGTTGTTGCAGAATTGTCAAATTGCAGTAATTTTTATTATTATTCAGTCGATTGGAAAGAAACACGAAACATTTAAATGTATCACGTCTAAGTTCTGCATTTGATACAAATAATGAAAGTTACATTGACTTACGCACGTGAATCGCATTATTTTAGATATTTTGAAAATATTTAATATTCGGATGCTCACAACAGTATTTTTTCTGTGTACTTAGCAATTTTACCTTGTGGTTAGGGCACTCGAAATATCCAGGTCGCGAGATCGAAACCTGTCACCAAACATGCTTGCCCTTTCACTCGTGGGGGCGTTATAAAGTAACAATCATTTCAACTATTCGTTGGTAAAGAATAGCCCAAGAGTTGGCGATGGGTGATGTTGACTAGCTGTATTTCCACTAGTAAGTCGCTTTAAATGTGAGATGGCTATAGCGCAGATAGCCCTCGAGGAGCTTTTCTCGAAATTCAACAAACTTGGCAATTTTACAACAAAAGTGAATTTCTGTATGTTATCAACTAGGTTATTTGAAAACACCGACAATGTCCTGAATCGTTTGAAATCTGATTACAATAAACATGGATCAATTATTTATTTAGTTTGTAGTGATCAATATCTTTCTCAAATGGACTGGGCCTTAGGCTAATAATTATCATGCTCGGACTGTGAATCCGAAACGCTCCACATATGTTTTAAAAACTTTAATAATTGTAGTGTATAATGTGTATTAAAGCTATAACTGTAAGAAAAACTAACGACTACTAAGACTGTTAGTTTAAAATTAGGACAATGCATAGATAGCTTTTTGTAGCTTTGCGCGAAACTTCTGTAACAAACAAATCTTCTTGAAACTATGTTTGGTTTAACGACTTTGACGAAACTGTACGCGTGGATTCCTTATGACGACAAGATAATGGAATGTAAGTATTTACTTTGGTACCAACCATTCTAGCTGTATGTGTGAGGCCCGGTGGTTAGGGCGCTTGACTCGCAATCTGAGGTTGCTTGCCCATTCAACCGTCGAGGCGTTGTAACGTGACTGTCAATCCCACTATTCGTTGGTAAAAGAGTAGCCCAAGAATTGGCGGTGGGTGGTGATGACTAGCTGCTTTCCCTCTAGTCTTTCACTGCTAAATTAGGAATGGCTGGCGCAGATAGCCCTCGTGTAGCTTTGTGCGAAATTCAAATCAAATCACACCAAACTGTGTGATGTTAAAAAACAGTTATCGTGTAACACAAATATCAGATAAACAACTAAAACTATTTCAAGTGCATGTGATGAGCCACAGGGAAAGCTGATTTTACATTTGAGGTATTCTTTACCTTTTTTACTGCAGTTTTGTTCAGAAAATCGGTAAAATAATAAAAGACAACATTCCAACAGGTTTCGTCCAAATTTTTAAATACTTGAGTTATAAAATACGTGAAAAAATGTGCACATATTTGTTATTAAGCACAAAGCCACACAATAGGCTGTAAGGGCTTTGATGTCTGGAACACTAGCCAATGAATGAAACCAGTGGTCTAGGAAACGGAGGGGGTGTGGCACTTTTCAATCCGTCCCAGTAAAAATGCATCAAAATTACTCTCGGGAAAAGGAGGAGAATGCATAAAATTTAATTCAGAACCTAAAACCTATAAGGCAAG